TTTTTTTTTTTTTTTTTTATTTCGGGGTATTATGAGGGTGCACACATTTTGGTTAATTTTATATCTTTGCCTCGCCCAAGCAAGGGTTAGAGGCATGATGGGGTTAGAGAGTTCAGTCATCTCAGGCATGAGACTGTCTGTGGTAAAAGTAAATCAAGGTCCCCCTTTCATGATGGCTGATACGTCCTGTCTGCTTCCTCTGCCCCTTCCTCCTTTCCCCTACCCACAACTTACTTTTGAAAATCCTCCCCACTGTGCAGGCCTCTTCTGTTGTTGCAGTACATATTCCTCTTCCTCGGGAGCACTTTTCTCCTGGGAACTGGAGGTGGCACATCCTGCACTGAACAATTTGTTGGTCTTGCCCAGAGAGTGGGGAAATAGCAGTGAGAGGATGTGTCACCACCATGAACGGACCCATCTCCCCTCTCAGGTTCGAGGTCTACTTGGAGCCAGGGGGCTTTGCCAGAGCCCCGTTAAGCATGAGCATCTGCCTCCGTTTAAACAGGCTAAGCCAAGAGAGTGACTGGAGTTTATGATCTCAGGAGTTTTAGCCTGAAAAGTGGGAGGGGAAAGAAAAGTGGAGGGATAAGGAGAAGAACACCATCAAGACTGAGATGATCAGAATAGCTGCTTCATACTCAGCAGGATAACCATCTTCCTGAACAATTACTTCGCTGACTGTGCCGGCAAACAGAAATAAAGCAAACCTGCAAATGTGTCTGAGGTTTAGCCCTGCATAGGGTCCTTGTAATCTCCCCTTCAGGGTCCTTCCTGTACTGTTAACCTGGGGCCATTCTAGGCCCTGTCTGTCCCTCCAAAGCCTGGTCACTTACGGGGCATCTCTGCACCTCCTCTCTCCTTCCAGTTCTCTTCATCTCTTCAGAGATTCTCAGACTCCTCTACCTCTTCCTACAAGTGCAGCACAGGCCAGAAGGAGAAACATAAATGCACCCTGGTGTTTTCCTTAATCCCTTCTTCTTAATTGACCCTATGTGGCATTCCTACCCACGTGTACCTGGAATCCGACAATGGGGACAAGTACCTGAAACTCACGGCATTGCTGCCCTTCACATTTGGCCACACGGGTCCTGGAGAGTCAGCGTCCCGCCTCCTCCTTCCCCTTCACCTGGCCCTTCGGGACTCCCACTCCTAGCCTGCCGGTTGCTGCCAATGTTATTTTGTCACACCTAAGAGCAGCCCCCAGCCAAGCCTGTCCTGCTGAGAGAAGTTGCTGAGTGTTGAAACTCAAGGTCTACTTCTGGGCCCTTTACCATCCCCCACCATACCCACCCACCCTGCCCAGACCTTCCCCCTCATGTCACTCATCCATTTCCACTCACCTGCATTATCTCTGCGTAGAAGCGATCCAGATAGCACTGTTGAAAAAAAAAAGATACACTGTCTAACCTCATTCTCCAAACCTCATCTCACAGCCTCTGTGAAGATCCTCTCAATTCCTCTCTAACCCACCTATTTCTTCCCCTAAGGGGAGAGGGAAGGACTTTGTTTAAGGTCCCAGGGACAAACAGACTGTGGGCGGAAGCATAGCATTAGACAGCAGGTCATCATGCTTCTGTTACCGTATGGCTCCCTGAGGGCTCTGTGACAGGAGCTCTAAGCCACTGCTGATCCTGGACACATCTCACCTGTCAGCCCTGGGGACTCACCCCTAAAGCAGCAGAGCAGGACAAGGAGTCCCAGCAGGAGGGACTTGTCCATTTTGGAAGGAGGGAGGGCCAGGCCGGGGCAGGAAGCTTCAAGAGCACCTATTTATACGCCTGCAAGGTTGGGCCTCCCGGGGAAGGGTTGGGGGTGGGGACACTGTGGAAGTCCTTGGAAGGCGTACCCTGCTCCTAGGGAAATCAGCGACTCTGTAACTTCTCTTCTCGTCAATTTGGGGGAAGAGGGAATAGCTAGGTAAGTCCTCAACCTGATTTATTCCAATCCTACCCTTCAGAATTTCTGATTCCAGATTCTATGATCTTTTCCCCATTTCACACTGTGAAAGAACAGAAGTATAAATAGGGGCCGAATGGGCAGAATTCAGAGACATCTACACCAAGGCGTGCATTACAGCTGAGAGAACGCATAAGTACAAATAACTGGAATGCAAGAAAGGCTGAGAAAAGAACCTTAAAAATACATAACCTCCGAGGAATGGAGAAGACAGGAGGTGGGAAGTTTAGGCTCAGGGGCACTGACAGGATTCTCACGAGGGGAATGAAGTTTCTTACCATCAGTCATCCTGGAAACAAGAAGACCCTGGGGTGGAAGATGAAAGCTGAGTAGGGAACTGCTTCCCTTTCTTGGAGTTTCCTGGTGGCTGAGACTTAGACTTTAGTTAGGAGAGGGAGGTTGAAGACCACTTCTCCTGGAGGGAGGTAAGCTGTTCCTTCTGACTTGATGTCAGTCTAGGTAAATCTCAATGGACATTGCAGCTTTGTCTCCACTTGTCATTGCGGACAATTGAGGGAAGAGTCTGTGCTCATGCACAGGGAAAAGCAACACAGGGAAGGGAAACAGCAATTGAAAGGAGGTAGATTGCAACAGGGCACAGTGTGGGTCTACAGCACGGTGGGGTAGTGGTCTAAGCCAGATGACGGCTGAAGTAGTAGGGAAAAAGAAGAGTAATGTATGGAAGAGATTTTCGGGTGCATGAAATTTTGTAGGTTATTTATTATAAGTCCAAAGGGCAAACTGGCATTCCCATCCACAGCAGAAGAGCGGTACTCACTAGTTAAGTGTTTACCCGGAGTACCTGCTGTGAAGCTTTAAAATAACACCATGAAGTATTTATGTATTACACATACACACACATGTACATGTGTGTTCACACACACAGGACAGCACTGATTTTTGTGTTCTGTGTACTCACTGGCAGAACTCTTCCTTTGCTTCCTCCCACTGCCCTGAAATTTAGCATCTCCTCTTGCATCTTTACACTGCTTTCTCCTACCTTTGGACAGCTCCCCTCCTTTCCTTACAGGAATTCTATATTTAATTCTTTGCCTAATGGCAGCCCACAAGAAAGGAGGAATGGTTCTCTTCCTCTGCCCTGTCAGAAACTGTCTTCTTATCTGATTATACTTCTACGATATTATTACACAACTTCCCCTACAGCAGAAATTTCCTCCTCCCAGATGTACTGATCCATATGTATTCCTTGCTTATATTTGAACTCTATTTTATTGATTAACTTTTCTCCTAAAATCATGCCAAATTCATACTCTCTCTGTTAGTGACCCTAATACCTGACTGGGTCTCTGTCACTTGGGGTCTCATTTTTCTTTGTGCCTCTGATCTTTTTGTTCTTATCACCTTAAGGCGCCCCCTCACCCCAAATTCTCCTTATGTCATAAATTTCAGACCCGTGACTTACAAGTATTCAGGGATCCCTTTTGCCCTATCGCTCCAAACCCTATTGAAGTCTGTAAAGCCTTTTTTCCACAATGCCCCTCCCTGACACAGAGTTCTGGAGATGCAATTAGTCCACAAGAGCAAGCTCTGGCTTATACCTCAACTCTGAGCACGATAAGGCACTTAATTATGTATCTGTGTGTGATTAGAGAATGTTTAGATTATGGGCTAGAATTTTTAGTTTGTGTCTCCAATGTTATCATGAAAAGCAATAAAAATTATGCTTTTTGAATGGAAATTCAACTTCCAATCAGTTATTATTATTTTTAAAAGAAATACATCTACTCTTCACAGGGGATTCATGGTATCCTGAGTTTCATTGATAATTGAGATGTTTTCACATAATAATCTTTTTGAATAGGCTGATGGGGCTGGTGGAGAGTACCGGCTTTGAGAAAAGAGATCTCAGCTTGGGCAGACCCAGCGTCTGTTGAGGGGGTTAAACGAGGCGAAGAACCGCAGTTACTGTTTCAGTGCAGCACCAATGGCCTCAGACGCTTGGAGTTTCCCCAAGCCCTAGGACTTATATTAGTGATCCAGCAAAGAAAGAACAGTTTTTTCTCCGTCAGGGTTTGAAGGAATGGTCAGATCAGAACGGCCTGTCTCATTTCCATCAGGCAAGTGAACAGTGCAGCTTTGGCCGACTAGGACTAGATGAAATCAGAGTGGTTCTACCATCTCGAAGGACGTGAAAGATGGAGAAAATATTCAGATAATATGCACAGGCCCAAGAGAAAATATAAAAGAAGTGTCTCTGGGGAGACTTCACGTGTATTTTCTTTTCTACCATGAGACTTGCCATCCCTTAAGAATTTCTGGGAACCACAAAGTTGCTCAATATGCCCCCAATTCCCTAGATAGTTCCTTTCTATTGTGCTGAGGATTGGAGTAGGTACCACGGACATTGAAGAGACCAGGGAGGTAGGTCTAGGATTCAAGGGTGAAGAAGTAGCTAATAATTTATCCATTGTTCCTATTATAGCTTACAGATTAAGTAAAATTTCCTGGATTTCAATGTGCTGCATCAATAAAACTAGCTTTACCCTGAGAACTCTTTCTAAGGGTGACCTCAGCTAAGGAGAAATTAGGGGTTCCTCCACTACTTTCCATGGTAAAGTCACCAGCACATGAAGGCCACACTCAGAGACCTCTTCACAAACCGCCAGTGCTTCCCAGGTGGCACATAGCTGTCGGTATTGCTGAGTTTATTACATACTTTCAAAATGTCTCCCTTCAGATTATAAAAATAATCTTTCTGTGTTCAGAGAGGCTGTCCCTGACCAGTTACCCAA